GATAAATGCTACTTAATTCCTCGTTTTAAGCTTAAATAACGATAAATCGGATGATACCCAATTAGACCCATGTGGCCGAATCTAGGAAAAACGACCAGGTTAAAAATTGGCCAATTTTGGTAAAAACCATGATCTATATATGCTCATACTTTTTTTTGGACGATTTTTTTTACCCTGCCATTTTCCAGTTGTTTCGTATTCCATGACACCTACAGATCACAAGAGTCCTCTGTAGGTTGATAAATGCTACTTAATTCCTCGTTTTAAGCTTAAATAACGATAAATCGGATGATACCCAATTAGGCCCATGTGGCCGAATCTAGGAAAAACGACCAGGTTAAAAATTGGTCAATTTTGGTAAAAACCATGAGCTATAGCTCATACTTTTTTTTGGACGATTTTTTTGACCCTGCCATTTTCCAGTTGTTTCGTATTCCATGACACCTACAGATCACAAGAGTTGTCTGTAGGTTGATAAATGCCAGTTAAATCCTCGTTTTAAGCTTAAATAACGATAAATCGGATGATACTCAATAGGCCCATGTGTCCGAATCTATGAAAAACGACCAGGTTAAAAATTGGCCAATTTTGGTAAAAACCATGAGCTATATAGCTCATACTTTTTTTTGGACGATATTTTTGACCCCGCCATTTTCCAGTTGTTTCGTATTCCATGACACCTACAGATCACAAGAGTTGTCTGTAGGTTGATAAATGCCAGTTAAATCCTCGTTTTAAGCTTAAATAACGATAAATCGGATGATACTCTATAGGCCCATGTGGCCGAATCTATGAAAAACGACCAGGTTAAAGATTTGCTAATTTTGGTAAAAACCATGAGCTATAGCTCATGCATGCTTTTTTTTTTGACAATTTTTTTTTGACCCCGCTATTTTCCAGTTTTCCATGAGCTATAGGTTAAAAATTGGCAAAATTTTTGGAGAAGCTGACACACAATACGAGTGATCATTATATATATTTTTTTGGGGGGGTAAAGGAATAGGTGGGGAGTGGGGGCCGGGGTAGCTAGCCACCCTATTCACCCCCTAAATCCGCCACTGAAGTTTTACTACTATGAACAAATATTAGTATAAAATATTACCACATCAATTGTTATGATCATGATTAGTATATATTTAACTCATACATCCATAAGGATACTTCCATAATTATATGAACAGCTACATAGTATAAAATATGGTAAGCAAAACTGATCGACGTGGTGTGAAGTACTCTAGGCCTATCTTTTTTTTTTCTTTTTCTCTTTTTTCTTCGTTTTTTGGGGCCATGGCCCTACCCCTTCCCCCTTGATCTGCCCCTGCCGACGAGTTGGTTTTGGTCCGAGCGAAGTGACCTGCTACCATCCATCCGTCCATTCGCGATCCTGATGCTGATAATTTGTTTTGGAACTACTCTTCATTAGTAATCTCAGCCTTGAAATGACATGTGCTGTGTTTATGTCGCGTTGTAGGTGTGGGCCTAGAGAAGTGTCCAGATTTTTAGTTACATCTTGTTATTGAAAGGAAATTGGGATAATCTTTCATCTGCGCATTAAATATAGTGTATTGCTCATCATGTATGGTCCAAATGACGATTTTGCGGACGATGTAAGTTTGAAAAGTTTTATGAAATACAAGGCTGAAGCTAGGCCTAGGCTGTGTTTGTGTGTGCCATCGCCAGGTTAGGCCACGGGACCGATACTGTGTGTATGGCTAGCTAGGTGTAGGCCTAGCCTACATACATAAAGCCAACCAAGCTCGGCATAGCCTGGTGCTGTTTCACTAAATATTCATCTTTACCCTACTATGATGAGCCTAGAGTGTAGACATATGTGATTTTTCATTTACAATATGATTGGGTTCAGTGGCGGTGCCAGCGTGGGTGGGGGAGCAGGGGATTAAGCCCCCCCCCCCCCCCCCCTTTTCCGGAGAGCTAGTTAGGGCAGTAGGACTAAAAAAATATAATAATAAAGATAGGCCTACCCCTAGCCAACATATGTCTGTCACACACAATCTGAAGGTGTCATTTCTGGCCATCCAGAGGTTCCTCGTATTCTTAAAAAAATCTCATTTGATAGGCTACCACCTCTCAAACCCTTCTCCAGGCTTGGGCCTACGAGCTCAAGTCCCCCTGTCGGACAGCCCCCCTTCCCCCAGAAAATATATCCTAGACTAGAGCCGCCACTGATTGAGTTGACTCTCTTTTTTTATCTGAAAATCAAAGTCCATTCATTTCATAGAATTATAATTGGCATAACTGAAGTGATGTGACCTTAATTAACAGATTCAGCGATCCAATTGTATCATTCATCATGATTCACAAAATGATGTACTATTAGGTGGAGGCCTAGGTTACTGTAGGCCACGTACAGGTGATTAAGTTCACTGTTTGACATACACTATCTTTAGCTCTTGACCCTAATAAAGGTAAATCTTGCTTTTAAAAATTGTATGTATTTGTATTCAGTAGGATAATATGTCAGGTAGGGCAAAACATTCCTTTAAAATTTCCAGATTCCAAAGATCATAGATATAGCATTTTAGCAACCACTGCTTCTTGATGGTCGGGTTCAACACTAGCCACAAAGCGCAAGCTTGATACTCTAGTGGTTATGACACCAGGCAGGTTGTCTTGAAGTTGTTGGTTCGATTCCCACCCAAATCACTTGCATCGTAATGAGATTTATTGTATGTAGACTATCTTGTTTATTACATTTGTCTTGTGATCATTGAGTACGATAACATGTCAGGTACTGTAGTGCAAATAATTAAATTTCCTGACAAAAAAGAACATAAAAATATATGTTTTAATAATCTCATTAATTTTCTTGCAGTATAATTCATATGACTACAACAACAGAGCCTATGAAGGCCACTCAGGTATTTCAACATTGTATTTTATATTCAATCTTACTCATTGTTTTTAATAACAGGAAAACAATATCAAAATCTATCCATACCAATTTAAAAGATAACGTTATTGAAGTGATTTAAAATATTAAAATGAGATGTGCCCTCACTAATTAAAATATACAATATTATACAAAAATTTGAATAAATATGGCTTTATAAGAACTGGAATTTATAAATAAACATACAGTATTTAAAAATGCATCTAACAGTTTGAATGATGTTGCTTAGGTGACCCCAGACAGGATTTAGAGTATGAGAAACATGCAAATAACCCAAACTACCATGTTCCTGATGAGGTCCGTGGTTTTATACTGCACTTCTACCGATGTTTAAAAGATGGAAAACTGTTTGAAGTTGGCAGTTGCTATGAGACAAGGTAAGGTCTCCCTCTAATGAATTAAAGACCCCTCCAATTAACAAATTTACTGCAGTCGTGGATGAACAATTATTTTCGGTCTTTTATAATTATTTTTCTAGTTGGAGACTAAACTGCAAAAGACCATGAAAACCCCAGTCCCAAATGTGGTCTTTATTTTGAATGGAGACCTGTAGTATTTAGTATTAATTATTATATTTATAATTAATATTGGATAATGTTCAATTTTAAAATTAAGGAACATACAGTACTTTAAATATAAAACTAAA